TGTTTAGTTTGATGCAACTGACCATAATATAATATACTAATGATGGCTTATTATGTTTTTATTATTTGGTTGTGTGATTTTTATAATTGTAATGTAATGTAAGATTACAATTATAATAGCCTTTTCGACTACAAACATAAGAAAAAGACTGTGAACTTGGTATTAAGAAACTACAAGGATTAAAAAAGCTCTTAACAAGGGCCGTGTTAAAATAAAAATAAAATATAAAGAACAAATTATCAAGAGTAGAAGGACGACTAAAATAAAACTCGTGAAAAAAACATGTAACGAAATTGTATATTCCTACATCACACACACACACACACACACACACATGTAGCTTTCTATCGTGCGAGAAGCCAAGTCAGAACTGTGTTAAGGAACCTCCTATCCAGCCAGCCAGCGATGCCACCACCAAACCAACCTCTCGCTGTCCATCGCGCATCGCATAGTTATTGCGCTCTTGGCTTTTCCACAATTATGCTACAAATTTTCTACAATAAAGACAATATACGTTGGCGTTAAAGCATACATTTATACATTTCCTCGGAAATTAAGTTGGTGGCGTTACATTGTACATTTCATGTCCGTTACTTAGTTGATTATTACACTACAGGGCTTCCCCATGCACCCAGATTGAAACATGTTTCTCCTTCTAGTTCATTGCCTGGTCACTGACCCACTTTCCAAATTGTCCAGCAACTTTGATGTTTTTCTTTAACATCTGCTTGTTAATTGGGTTTACATACGAGGTAAGAATCAATCTCCCTTACGCATACACTGCATGTAGAATTGAAGAATGCCATGCTTGAATGCGAAGCAGAGTTCTATGAAACTTTCAATTCTGGAGAGGATACATTGTCCGTCATTAATCAGAAATGAATGTAAACTTAGTTGCTGCCTACCTTGTGGTGAAACCAGAAGTATAAAACTTGAAACTTTGCAGGGATTGGCCTTAAAGTCACGTGTTTTACGCAGATAGACGTATGAGATATTTGGTTTCAATTCAATTAGGTATACCCTAGTCGATAGCATTAATATGTTCCGAGTGCTGCTTCTAAACAAAAAGATATCTTACAATAAAATTGGTACTTGTCTAGCTTACTTTTGGATTCATACGAAATTTGCGTGAAGAAATGGGAAATGGAAAAGTCAAATTGATGGCAAATGTGCTTTCATCATCAAAAGTCTTTAGACTTGAGAAGGTGAGAGATGCATGCAGAGCGTTATGTGAACTTGGTTCCAACTAATTGGCCTCTGTTTGCATAACGTTTTTTTTTTATTATTGTTTTAATTAACAATATAAAAATATATTATACGTAAGACAACTTTAAAATCATTATGACAATTAGCAAAAATAATATCACAAAAATAATAATATTAAAAATCACTCTTTACTAAAAAAAATAATACAACATAATTATATATAATATAATAATACATCTAAATATATTTATGTTTTTTGCAATAATAAGTAAATCGATTAACTTTATAAATAATATAACTTTTATATGCTTGTATAGTCTCATCCTTCAAGACCCATATGAATTCAATATCTCTCATGAAAGGTTAATTATAGAATGATATGTCTCTAACTATTATCCTAAATTACAATCGTTAAAAAATCATTATTAAAAATAGCTATGGCTTTAAAACCATTATTCTAAATTATATTTTTATTTAAACTGTTATTTTAAATATCAGTTTTCCAGTGACCACGATTTTCAATAACAATCCTTTACAAACTTACGTCATTTCCCCCAAAAATTTTCAAAATTGTGTCATGCCCTGTTCTCGGAACTGTTTTACTTTTCAAAAGGAAAATTCCACTTGATTGGACTTGTGTAAGTTGATTCCAGTAAAGTTTGGTTGTTTCCAGGGGAGGCATGCTTCTTTTCGTACAATATATATTATACACACACATCTGACTTCCATGGATGATTGCTCTGATCATTCAAAGACTCGTCCAAATCTTTCCCAACCACTTGACTCTGTTGATTGTTGACCTTGGTTAGGCACACGTCGGTTCATCTTTCACATCTCTCCTGCAGTCCCATCTTCTTCCTTGGAATAGACACGAAGATCATGTCATGACAGCAATACAGCGGAACTTCGCTTTTATACTGCTAGCTAGATGTCTCCTCTTGCCCCCTTGCCGTCCTCGGTATTTCAAAGAGGAAAATAAATAAATTTGAAACTAAAATAACATGGCAACTCTCGTAAAATCTATGCAAGTGATCTAGGAGAATTGGTGATTGTTTATGTAAAATTAATATTATCTTAAAAGTAGATGCTATTAAATTTATAGATCATACATTTTCAGAACCAATATGAAAATTCTAAGAATTTTAACAGTAAAATTAAAAAAAAATCTGAGAAAAACACTTAAAAAATCATTTATTTTTTAAAAAGAAAAAAATGAAAAAAACAAAAATATTATTTTCAAGTAATAAAACATCCGGTTGAATCCTCAACCTCATTTTCAAACATTTGGTTTAGAATCCAACCGCATGTTCACACAAGATATATGTAGTTCATACTTTAATCTAGTGATATGAAACAAAGTTGAAAAGATGCCTTTTAAAACTTCTATATTTTGCACTTTGATTCTCAAAACTTTAAACTACTTTTAATTTGATTTTTAATTCTTTTAATATTATAATATAATCCTTAAATTTATTTTTGCTTATGCAAAGTGTTGGTATAATTTTTCGCTTGCAATTTACTGCCATATGCATAATTGGCCCATCACAATAGATTAATCTAATGATTTGTTGACCTGTAATCTAGCCTGAGCCAGGGTGGTGGAATTTTTTTTAACAAAATAATATTTTATGCTTTTTACTAAAAAAATCAAGTATTAAATTAATATGAAATAATTTCCTAATCTATAACTTGAGTTTTAAACCAAATTTGATTCTTATATCAAATCTTATAACTATGGTGTTTGTAAGCGCATAACTGGATATTAAGTTTGAAACAAATTAAAAAAAAAAAAACTTTTAGGAGGAGATGAAAGTTAAAATTTACTAATTTTAGGGCTAAGATATATAATTATTCAAGGGGGAGACATGGGGAAAAAAGATCTGCGGGGGCCCCTGCCTCCCGGCTGGTCATCTATGGCTTGCTTAACCTCAAAGATGAAGTAATTCAATTTCAGATTCCTCCTATGTTATTAGTAGCATGAAAGATCATGGGAGATAGTGTTTATTGAATCTAAACAGCCGAATTCTAATCAAGGATCAGAGTTATCTTAAATTAAATAGATGTGCAATCATAAACTTAAGAACTACTTACTCTACTTGCTCGGATGAAAATTCTATTCATTGTATATTCTTATATAATGGGACAAATCTTCTATTAGTTCCTATTGTATCAATTCAAATCTTGAATGAAAAACAGTCTTCAATTAGTTCTTCCATCACAGCTTTCTATCCGAACACTAAATCTTGGGAGGTAATTTGCACGTGATCTAGTCTCCAAGTAGACAATTTGAATTAAAAGTGCTTCTTGATTAATATCATGTTCAATTGACATGCGAAACTCTATTAATTTAAAAAGGGTTAGAGAATATGAAAACAGTTATTTTTTAAAATATTTTTTATTTATAAATATACTAAAAAATATAATTTTTAAATAATCTGAAAACATAAAAATAAAATATAAAATAAAATTAATTTAAAAAATATTTTTAAAACATAAAATATATACCTGATGAACCAATAAAGATTGTATTGTTATTTGAAGTTTTAATGGATACGATTAGGATATAGATATTACTGGAAGAATTACTCTATTATACAAAATAGATTGAGCTATTAATCTTAAAATCTCAAATATATAAGAAATATTTGTAGGGCTATCATCTTGGATGGATGTTATCTTTAACTTATGTGGATTTTAATGTTTCAAAATTGTAGGATAGAACCATGAAGCCATGTGATGAAAACAAAGAATAACTCACATGGATTTGGCCAAAACCCTGATACAGGTATGCAATAATAATTAAAAAAAATAATTAGAATTTGTATGGTTCTTCAAGATATCATATATACATTCAACTATATTATTAAAAAAGATCGATTAAAATTGGCCCTTCAAACTTTATATCCTAATTCCGCCATTGAATTCATATGGGCTGGAAAAGACTCGAAACTGTGAAGGGTATTGAGTATTTTGTAGGAAGCAACTGTAAGGTAGCAAAAACATAAAATATACACCTCACATGCATGATTGGGCCAAAATCATCACATAATGCATACAAAGGCTCTACTTAATTGGTGGTTCAAAGGGATTCACATCTTGAAGATGGCGATGGAAATGCGTTCTATGAACAGGCAACTTTGCCGATGTTGCAATGTAATGGAGATATAACAATCATCAAGGAGTCCATCTTAGAATGCAAAGCCTCCCTGGTCGTTTTTGGGTTTTTATCTCGATATAGGCATATACTCTATACTACGTGGCCGCGTTCAGAAATTCGAAACCCACACTAGCTGCCAGAGAAAATAAACGGCTTAGAGGTCGAACAATCAGCAGGCCCAAAATTGATTTGCCGTCTAGACGGCATGTTACTCGTTGTCGCTGTGCATACGCAACACATCCCACATGTTAGCATCTAGTGTGGGTTTCGAACAAGGCATAAAAAAACATCCAAGTTGATTTGTACAAGGAGGCTGACATGATACTCGTGGGTTTTAATGAATGGTTCAAAATTCAGACATTGTACAGAACGTTTGATCGTATCTTCTTTCTTATGTTGGAAATGTACTTCGACCCAGAAATGGGCGTCTGCCACAGCTAAGATGCAAGGATTCTCCCGTGAACTCGGATAAAATCCAGCATAAAGTCATTGTTCTTTCCATGCTCATTGATCCCGATTAAACGCGACGTAGAGATAGGATGAAATCTTGTTGCACATGCCTTGCAGATAATTTTGGGCTCACCGCAAGTCAGATGTGTAAGAAGCTGGCAACTGAAAGTTCTAATACATTGCAAATTCGCTAGCGGAAAAATTGAAATGGAATAATTTTCGTTATTCATACTCGTGTCAACATTTCTTTCCAAAGTAAGGTGCTTGCAAAACTTCGTCTAAGGCATGATTTTAAGTGTGTCTCACTGCTTTTCTGTCCTAGTTTGTCCCAAGAGCATACACGACGTGTACAACTTGGTTTGCCAGCTTAGGAGGCCCGAATTTTGTTGGAATGAAAACTGTAAAGCGTCCCAAGGGACAAAATCTCACGAGAATATTTAGCATTCCTGACAATACCAATATGATATCTGATTGCTACCCTCCATAGTTCATCACATTTTAATTCTTTTTTATTGCAACTCTAGCTGAGCAGGAGAGATAGTTCGGATTCCAGGCTCAACTTTGACAGCACATGCTTGTCTATAAAGCAAAAAAAAAATAAAAAATCATTGATCACTTGATGCGATATGTTCTATCATTGAGTGAGTTTGTTTTTGCAACTTTTCCAAACTTTCACCTAAAAATCAAAATGATATTTTTGAAAAAACTTAAATGATTTTGATATGTTAATATTAAATATTAAAAAAAATCTAAAAAGATTATTTTAATTTATTTTTAATTAAAAATCACTTTCAAAAAACATAATGAAACCCACTTGCCACACACCCCCAACTGCGGTGACACAGGCTTCATGAAGAGTTAAGTTGAGCTCAACACCCTTGGCCTTTAGGTTGAGACAAGTGAAATCAGTCCCCAAGGTTACTCCTTTGTATTCTTGCAAGGGTGAGAAGTATGTCCTCCTAACCAGTACTCCTTTGTATTCTTGCAAGGGTGAGAAGTATGTCCTCCCAAACAAAGCTTGCAACATGCTTGAAACTGAGAGGTGCTGGAATTTATAGATTTCTTGGAAAAAGAATGACAGAAGGAAAACAACTGCTGTTCTGATTCTAACTTACAAATACCAAATAACGAAAAATTAAAAAGGAAACAGAAAAAAATAAATTACAAGGCCTCCAGTTCACTACATGAAAACTAGCTAAAGACACTTCAATATAATTAGGTGCCTTCTTGCTCCAAAATGTCTCTCCAAATGCCAGACCCTAAACATCTCTCGGGTACCTTGCTCCTAATGCTTCTTCACAGGTCATTCGTTGAGATTGCATTGTTCCTCCACAATTCATCAAACCATCAGTTTTCGATAGATTATGAATTGAACTCGCAATTGGAGTCATTCTCAAATTTCCATATATACATTTCAGTAACAAGCACCTTAGAAGCCAAAAACAGATCATTCATTTGTTCAACTCCTGTTAATTTATTCTCACCGTCTCCTAGCACTGTTAATCTCTCTAGCCCAGTCTCTTCTCCTCATTGAAGAGGAACTGCTAAAAACTGAATATGGCCTACTGCTCCCTGTAACTCTCGAATCCGAATTCGAACTCTGCCCCGTGCCAAAACAAGCAAACCAGTGCCTCAAAACTCTCCCAAAACCAAGCCGTCTATTACCACCATTACCCCCACCACCATTTCCCCTCCTTCCGTCCCCTCTAGACCCCCGAGATATCCTCCTCGGCAATCCACCATTGTTAAAGGCACCATCCATCTCTGTATAAACCACGGGCAACTCCCTTTCTCCCCTCCCCGCCCCTGTAAACCTCCCCACCGCATACCCTCCTCCGGGTAACCTCCATATCGCCAATTCAACTGCCTCCTCCTCGTTATTTCCCTGCCCATTCCCCGCTTCAGGCAACGGACTCACAACCCCATTATCACCATCGGCACCACCATCTACCGAAGGCAACTCACGTCGACAAACAGGGCAAGAATTACGAATAGATAACCAAGGAAGTATGCAATCAGTATGATAAATATGTTTACAAGGCATCTCCCGTGCTTCGGATTCTAATTCAAAAGCCTCTTTACAAACAGCACAATGAGATTCAGTAAAAATATGGGATTCATTAACAATTACCGTAGGCATCGATTCAATCGCGGATTTCGAGGTCGGTGGATGCTGATTCTCATACCGCCCAAACCCTCCATTTCTTTCAATCTGTGCTATCTGATCTAACAATATTTCCAACCCTGATCCCAAAAAAAACTCCGACACGGTCAGCGGCAACGGCCTCAACCCGGACCCACCACCGTCATCGTAATTAAGCTCAAACCCACCACCACCTCGGCCACCGTCGTCTCCCGCCACGTCCTCCGCAGCCCCTCCAGCCCCACCACGACGCAAGATTACAGGATTCATCGGAGACCGGTCTCCGCTCCCAGCGCCACCACCCCGTCGGTTCCGGTTATGGGGATTTGAGCGGTTGCCGATCATGAACATGGTTCCTGCAGCGGGAGAAAACCTGCGGTGTCGGTCACTCGATGTTTCTGTTAGAATTACGTGCGGTGGGTTTTCGATTTCTTAAATGAAACCGGATTAACATTCTGCGCAAGTTAACGAGTCTTGTCTCCAAACCTGAACAAAACGGCTGCATCTATAGCACCAAAAAGACGGCGTGGTTGGAGATGACATCAAATTCAAACAAATCCAAAACTTATTTTGGATCAGATCTGGTGAAAGATTAAAGCTTTTTGGTGTTTGGTTGGAGAGAAAATTGAAGAGAAAATTTGGGGTTTTTTATTTTAAAAAAGAGAAAAATGGGAGGGGATGAGATTACATGAGTGGAGGGGGGTAATTTAACGGCTAAGACGCGTTAACGGAGTTAGCGTAGTTATAACGCGACACGTGGAGTGTGATGATCGGTGGAATATAAACGGACGTTCAGTTGGATTTCTTGGTTCGTATAGTCAGATTTGATTCGGTGTGCTTTTTTATCTTTTTTCTATTTGATTATTGTATAACAAAGGAAGACGGGTTTTGGAACGAACGCTCCTTTCTATCTTTTTTTCTTTTCTTTTTTTGAATTCTTCCAACAGGAAGGTTTTGGTGTATTTTAAGGTTACAGCCCAATCAAGTCACATATTAAATTAAACTCAATATATAACTTTATTTGAATTATATTTTTTTTTTTGGTGAAATCAAGAATATATATATTAATTATAATATTTATAATAAATTGTTAATTCAATTCAAATCAATTTATTCTCTCTGTTCAGGCTTTCTTTTATAAATAAAATAATTTAATTTAATTATACCATTTTTACTATTCAACAATGTATATAAAAATCATTTATTTTTGTTGCAAAAACCTTATATTTATTTAAAATGATATAAAATATTTTTTAATAATATTTTTCATGTTAAGTTACTGTAACAGATAAGAAAGTCCCAGTTTTTATTCATTTTTGCACATTTTTTTTATAATTTGAATTCCGTTTAAAATCCAAGTTAATGTCTTCAAGAGGTTTTTAAACATAAAATCGATTTAACACTGTAAATTTAATTCAATCCACCGGGTTACAAGATTCCAGATAGCGTGTTAGGAAATACTTTGATACTTTATGACTCCCATGATGATTCTAAAAGCTTCTCTCATTTTATTTTATTTTTGATCCTTTTCACTTAAAAAAAAAATATCAAAACCCAACAATCACTTTCATGCTTTTTTTTAGAATCACCGTGTTTGATTTTAAGTTTATTTTTTGTACAATTGAATGTTGGTTTTTGCTAGCAAAAACAAAACAAAAAAGGGAAAAATGAGTGATATCAAAAGACTCCTAAAACATCAAGCTTTATGGTTGCTCTACATTTGTAGACACGGCATTTTGTTGCCTTTTTCACCGGAGCAAGCCATCTTCATAGAACAGCTGCATTAATAATGTAAATCCTCCGACATTCCACTATTTGCTATGTTAGCTTTTAGGGTCATATTGGCTAACAATGAATGCATGTCCGAGACCTTTGCGTTTAGCTATTATTCCCTACCAAAAAAGGTTCAACAACGTCCAATGTTATCGTAATTTATATGAAAAAAATGTAAAACACAAGGGAAATGGACATGTTTAAGAGGAAATCACCGAGAATTACATGCCTGGATGCCACCTAAAATCTACATGGTTCATCTTGTTCGTGTAGATTTTTTTCTAGGGTCCTCGGCATAAGTAGAATTCCCAAGTTCATTCTCTAGAGGAGATGGACATGACCACGGTGAGAGCATGAAAACTATCTTATCCTCTTCGCTATACGAACACAAAAAACTTCCTTTTCCGTGAAGTTCTTGCATCGAGATCGATACACGAGAAACCTAGCATAATTCCTTTTTTTTTAAAAAAAAAACTTAGGGCAAAACTACCATAGTTGGAAGTCCATGATAACGGAGAGAAAATTTAAAATAATCATGTTTCTATACGATCCATCACGAAAAATCCACTTGGCGAGTGGGAATGAGGATCAGAGCATATTAAAAGATATCCCTACGCGCAACACGTGGAGAACGCTGACTGGCATCAGAATTCATTCGAGGTTCCCTTGTCCATTTCGAGGTATGGTATTTTTACGGGTAAATATTAGTTACCATTCTTGTAAAATTATGGGGTAGAAATTGCATATCAATTGAAAGCTGGGGGGTCGAATTGAATATCCTGAGAAATCTTCAAACCATGTGTGGTAATAAAAAAAACCAGCTCTTTGTAATATTTGTATTATTTAACTACTTCAAACACGTGCGTCTTCACGCGCGTTTATAGGCCATGAAACATGGCACCCGCGGCATTGCTGAGTCATGATTTGAGAGAAGATGGACCCGTCTTTTTCATGACACGTCACCATCAACCTACAGAGCGTGAATCCATGCTCCTTTTCGCAAGGCTGTGTTTGGTTGGTTTTTCTGCTGTGTCAAACTTTATTTTTTTTTATTAAGGTTTATTTATTATTGTATTAGTTGTTATTTTTTAAAGTATTTTTTATTTTAAAAAATATATAATAATAATTTTTTATTTTTAAAAATTTATTTTTAATACCGATATATTAAAACAATTTTAAAAACATAAAAAATTTATTGAAAACAAAAAAAACGTAGAAGAAGACACCAACCACATAGCTCTGCATATTATACAATTTTAATAAATGCTGGGTTTAATTAATCAATAAAATAGAATTTCGGTTGACCGACTGTGGTGGTTCTCTGACTTGGCTTGATCTCTATCGGCATGATCACAGATGGGGGGGTCATCATCAATGATGCGAGTCGAAACAATTACTTACTATCGAAGATTAGGACCCTTCATCAAATCCTAGCCATTATTAATTTAATAGCACCCTCTCTCCCTCTGCGCACTCTCAAGTGTTAAATCTGTAGATTACTTCTTTATCCGGTCAAAGCCTTTCCAGAACTTGCAAGATGCCGATAAGATTTCAAATGCCGAAAAAGAAACCTTGAGAGTTTCCACGTGGTCAGCTGATCTCCAATAAAAATCCAGAACCCCCCCTTTCCACGATAAGCTTAAATTTCGTTTTAAGGAAATTAAACAATTCGTGTAGTGTAAGAGACCGTTTGGAGGAATCCGTTTGTTAATGTAAAAACATGGTTTATTGTCCACGTGTAGCAATCCATGCAAATTTTCAAATTTTATTTAAATAGCAGGTGCGTGAAAAGCAACTTTTAACTGTTTTTCATATACCTGTGGTGTTTAGTAAAGAATGAAACTTTATTATCCAAGTAAATAAGGAGTTAATTTTTATTATTGCAGCCAAATCAATTTCAGTTCAAAATTAAATGTATTAAATCTGTTTCGGTTGAGTTAAAATAATTTAATTTTTATTTTTATTTTTAATTATATTTTATTTTAAAAAATTAAAAAGAAATCACTTAATAACATAACATTTGCAGAATTTAATCATAATTTTATTTTTATTTTTGATGATATTTTATCTGATATTATTATGTGCATAAAAAAATAAGGAAACTATAGTATTTGTGGGATGAATTTCGTACGTGATAAAATTATAAATCGTTTAATGAAATAATAAAAAATATTTGATATCAGTATTATTTATTTCATGAGGTAATAATAATAGTTAAATCCATAATATTTAAATTAAAAATCATAAATATTAATATATATTAATTATTTTATAATTTTAATTTGAAAAACATTCTTTTAATTAAATACATTAAACTATTTTTTATTTAATTTCAATTTCAACTACAGTTTTAACTAAATATACATAAAATATTAAACCAATCTTCAAAATAATTTTTATAAATCATATTAACAAAAACTACTGTAATACCAAATTATAATTGTTTGTCTCGAAAAAAGAAAGGAATTTAAAAAAAAAAATACTTAATAGATGTTCTGTAAAAAATCCTATGCGATCCCTCCACACAACAGCAAATGGGACTGGTCGTTGCGATGTATTTGGTCGCCAATTCTTTTCGTTCTTTCCCTTTCCATTTGTCCGAGAGTTTCTGTATAAATGCGAAGCTAACCATGACATGCGAGAACACAGAAACTTCCACTAGCACTGGCTTGCAAAAGAGCTAGTCTTCTCTGGTCTTTCCTTCTTCTAAATTAAATATCCTTGATTCTCTACGAGCGTCTCTTGCCACCACCTCCCTATCTTCAAACAAAGCTCCCACTACCCTTTGGAACGCTTCACATATTCTCCATCTCCATTTAATTTCCTGTGTAATATTTATATTGATCGCTTTATGACCTTGACCGGAATATATGCAAACATGATGCGTGTATAAAGATCACTTGTCTTTTCACGACAGGGAAGATCACCTTTAATAAAGCTTCTGTATACTTAGAGACCCTTCCTCTACTCTGTAAATAATGATTTCTCTATCCCAGATAGAAAACCATGTACCTGATTTTCCTTTGGACGTGGTTGACAGTAATGTGCCTTGTATTCTGGAGTTGCTTTTTAAAAGATTTTTTATTTGAAAATGTATTAAATGATATTTTATTGTTATTTTTTATATTTGAATATTAAAATAATATGAAAACATAAAAAATTTATTTGAACTAAAAGTTAAAAAAATATTTTTTTTCAAAAACATTTTTAAAACACAAAAATAAAAATAAATGAAGTTTTAAACCCTATCTATTCAGCATTTAGACGTGTTCATGTCACAGATATATAATATATAGATGCAAATGATAAAGCGGGCGATGGTAATGTTATATCATAAATTCCTGTCTTCTGTAACAAATAATAATAATAATAAAAGGTTGTAAGTTTGGAGTGCCTGTAAGGATGCCCATCAAGCCTTAAAATATAACAGCCAATCGGTAGGCTTAAATGGTCGCCATAGCCATTTCTCCATGGGCAATTGAAAATGTCAAATCTGCCTCACCAAACAATTGAAATCAAACAGCCCAAAACAGCTGAATTTCCAATCCGCCCACCAAATCGAGGAAGCAGATACTCTCATGGATGTCAAGGTTATTCCATGGTTGATTCGAGCATAGATTTGCAAAGGAAAAGTTATGCCACAAACATACCTGGGGACCATAATTATTATGATCAATATCAAAAACTCAGTTGGCAACGAATCCTTGACAATGGGAGCAAAGAGTAGCGTTTTGTTTATAGTGTGGGCTTATTAATCTTTCCAAGTTGGAACTTACATAAAATTCTTAAAAAGAATGCTTAAAACATATTTATTGAACTAAATCCATGGAATGATTGGAAAAAAGGGAGGTAATATTGACGTAGTACATGAATTCATGTGAGTTATTTTTATTAAAATAACATAATTTTATTAAAAAAAACTTTTTTATAACTTTCCTTATAAATTCAATAAAAGCTTATCAAATCAATTTGGTCAGGATTCAACCTAATTAGGTTAATTAGATTTTAAAGATAATATATTTTTTATTTCAATTTTTTATTTGGATCAAAATTTAAATTATGATTTTTCAGATAAACTCACCATATTAAAAGAATTATAATTAATAACTCAAATTATAATAAACTACTTTTCATTAATGGATGGTCTCTCTTCCATGAGTGGGAATAGAGTAGGTGTTAGATCCTGGACCAAACAGGATGGTCCATCTATAGCTTTACAAGGCACTGTAGTGTTGGAGGCCTGTTGCCCAGAATATAATACCTCGTCGAAAGACAGTGCCCCCTGCATCGTGGTCCGCTTTTGTCGTGGTCCATATAAGATGCCAGTGTGATGGACCAGGGCCTGGCTTGTTCGCCCAACAGAATACATTAAAAATAGAAGGCATTGCAGATGTTGATTTTCATTCCCCTTACTTTTATTCAAGGGAGCATGAAATGGAAGCAGCCTTTCTTAATTATCGATTTTTCAAGATCCGTTAATATTTTTTTCTTTTTATTTTTTACGAAAAAGAGCTTCATTTTATTTTACAAAATAATTCTTATTACAGTACCAAATAGGCTCATACATTATTTCCATGAATAATAAATTATCCTAATAATCAGAAGCAATTTAAAAATATGTAAAAATAGATAAAAAGAAAATGATATTATAAATCAATTAACATACTCTGTTGCAAATAAAACAAAATATTTGTGATTCCAAAGTCCATTTGGATTGCTAATGTTAACAATAAAAACAACTGATTAACATTAGTCAATCATCGAGCATTATTCAACAATTACAAATTAAACAATAATTAAAAATAGAAAGAAAAGAATACATGAAACCAGAGATGAATTCAAGCAGAAATACAAGACAAATCTTATTCTCATATGTCATCATAGCTAGTGAAAAAAGGGCTTGAACGTGCTCACCACCTTCTTAAGTTGATTAGCAAAGGAGGTGTGCGATACGGTTCCATCATTCCCAGCAAGAACCCTGTATTTGTCCTTCCTGGTGAAGTTTGTGCATTCAAATCCTAACGTAGCTGCTAAGATTCTTTGGACATAATTTGCAACATCATGTGGGCTTTTACCAGATGAGCACGTAGCTTCTACCGGCAACTGACTCAAGAAAGTCACCTCGTAAACTGGTCTAGGATTCATGAAGAAGAATATTGGGTCCAAAGCTTTGCATCCTCTAGCTGTAGTTGCATGGAAAAAACCAACCCTATAGTTCATTGCCACTGGCACTATTTGGTCAGTTAACTCAGCAAAAAGTGCACTAAATCTCAATAGGAATGGTTCTCTACAAGTTGTTCCTTCTGGACAAACCACAAGGTCACCTCTGGCCAGTTCTCGTTTGATTTGATCAGCATCCACATCGCGAATCCTTGTTAATCGGACGGTGGGGATTGGCGATAAGAGCTCTGATAATCTTGAAATGGAGTATGTGACTGCTGGGATTTTACGTCTTAGCACCGAAGATAAGACGACAGGGTCCATCAGGGTTCGGTGGGTGCAAACAAACAGCACGCCGCTATTGCCACTGGACGCGGGAGGTGGTGGTTTGCCTTTCACAATAACTTTGCCACCCAACATCTTGGACAAGTAAGGTTTAGCCCACATCGGTAGCATAATTCCCACTAGAATTCGAACTGCTGCGAGGACGATGCCTATAGGCATCCATAGGATGATTAGGAGAGCCGTGGACGGTGTCGGACGCTTGACTAGGCGGCCATCATGAAAGATGACCGGGAGAGGACGGACGAGCTGATGATCATGCTGCTTTTGATCGGTCATGCATGGGGGGTGTATTTGTTCCTGACAGCACAAGAAATAGATTTGAGGGTTAGCCCTAATTAATTAATTAACTGGAATAGTATTGATCAGTTCTTAATTTGTTATACAATTGGTGGCCTAGCGGGCTTGAATTAAATAATGAAATATATATACTGTGTAAACTAGTTTAATTGAAGTAGTTTTTTTTTTACATAGTCCTCGTCCATATACACAACTACTGACAAAAAATTCCAAAATTTGATCCTAGGAATAGTAATAACTACATTTCTTTCTGTGTGCATTGAACACAAGTAACTTCAATAAATTTAGTTCTTAAAAAACTAAACTATATTTCAACCAAGAAAGCTTTGATACTGAGTTAACTAATTTTCTTAAATCACATTAGCTTGAGGTTGCTAATACTCACCTTGCATAAAGATAGGAATGAAGAAGTAACCCTTCCTAGTCCAAGACAAGGTTTTTCGTCAATAAACAGTTTGGCGACTCGACTCGAAATATAAGAATCAATAATGTTGCCCTTAACAAATCCTGTGGCGAACCCAAACCGGCTAATCACAAGTTCACTTCCAATAACCTCATCGGCTCGCAAATGCTCCTTCACAAACCTCTCAACCATGATCCTTGGCATCTTAGTCACTACAACTCTTTTATCATATGAGCTAAACACCTTCCATGCTTCCATGTCAAGATCATCCAAGTAAAACTTTGGCAAAACTGCTCTTGCAACCGACTCAATCTCCGATTCACTAACACCCGCAATGGCAGCAAAGACCATTAGCTTGAGCCCATATTCTCCCATCCCTAACATATCCAGTAACCAAATCACAGGCCATAAGATCAACAAAAAGGCAAAACGAAGAAAACCCGATGCCTCAAATGCTACTAGCATGAAATAAGAGAAGGGGTCTCGGCCTTTCAGAAGAGTTCCCTCGAGCTCCGAAACAACTGAATCCATAGGGGTTTTCTTTTGCTTGGGTTTTTGGTGTTCTGTTATTTTTCTATCTTGAGAGGATAATATTTGCGTGTTCAAAATGTTAGTTTGGTTCTTAATTTGCTCTCGAGGTAACAATGGTTTTATGGGCTGAAAAGGTTACGGGAGAGGTTGGTTTGACTGCTCTCTAAGGCTGAAATTAGACGGTTTATCAGTTTACAACTACCCCTCATATACTTTATAATTAATCTCTGCCTCTTGCGTGGATATGCAGTATTGTACGCCACGTTACCATACAAAGATTGATTACTTAACCCCAACAACTTTATGTAATTTTATATATAACAATCATACCAGGTTGATTGCTCCATGTGTACTCCTAAAATTAGGTTACTAACCTGATAACTTGAGCCATTTGTACATGTGTGTGTTATATATTATGATGTAATTCGACTGATGATTTGCGAAGTATGTGATTGTAATCTCTTCCACGTTGTTGCATGGGAATTAGCAAGCTGGCCGATTTCAGCCTCTGCTGCTTCTTCATTGTTTAGCTACATGCATTTTAGTCACCCTTCACATTTTCTTTGAGCTCTCTTGTCGTAGTTTCTGGAACTCTCTCCCGCTGCCTGTGCACTTGCTATCAACCTAGCTTGCAACGTGTCAGGTTATGTGAATTTAGAGATTGAAAACAGATTGTATGCATAATTAGTCTATTTTAAAGATGTGATCTAATTACGAGCTGGGCTTCAAATTGTTATTGTTGGAAACAGAATAGCTATAAGGTATATGTCTGTGGTACTAATTTAATCCTTCATAGAGAAAACATTTTTTACTCCGCCTTCCGGAAAATGCCAAACATACTGGTCAATGTTTTTTCAAAAATGGAGGTCAAGACATCAAGCAAAAATTGTATCTTGTGTGAACCATGATTATGTTTCATAAACTGTACTGATCAATTAAATTGATCTCGTTATTCACCAACATATATACTTAGCAACCCATGTATATATCACCGGACGACGGACAGTTACCGACCAACTCAGCAGCGAATTTTTTTTGCTGGTAGATTTATAACGGCTTTGCAACCCCATTGAATTTTAATATTATTTTTACTTCCTATCGATAGCGTTGGCTGGGTGAATTTTTACCAGCTGTTTTTTCGACTGGTAAGATTTTGCATGGCAGTTATCATATAATTTCTTTCCGATTGGAAATTGGTTGGAATTTTTCCCCCGATATCCATCGTTTATTTTAATTTGTAGTGTGTTTGTGTGTACTCACACAATTATACACATGCAATCAAGTTTTTTCAAAACAACCTGCCATGCTTTCTGATCAAATAGGAAGAGTCCTAGGATATTTTGATGAAACATTTTCAAACTTAATCCCTCAAGCTTCAACTTGCAGCTTCAAGAACTTAATCGAAGGTTAAGTTGCATGGTCATGGAACTTGCTACTTTATTGAAGTGCATGTTTCTAATTCCGAATATGTACAACGGCGCAAAAGAATCGTTCCTATTCGTACCAAATTAATTGATGCAAGTTGCAACCGCATCGGCCTTACTTGGGATCATCCTGTGAGAAAATATAACTGCTGGCCGAGATTTCCCGAGCCCATCCTGTTAGGCTACCCAATCTATGACATCATTCCCGTGCCTGAATCAACAATGATAGAGTTAGTCGCCTGGAAATCAATTGCTTATATATATATAAGGTTCGAAGGAAAAAATATTACAAGTCATTCAAGATGGCCAGCACTGTTATTTAAGACGCTTCATCCCTGAACAGTAAACAATCACCAAGTTGTTGTTTTTCGGCTACACGTAACTAATTGCCCGTATGAAGAAAACCATGCCTCGACTTTATCCAGCCTAAAATGTCCCGAATATATGGCTGTAATTTGCTTGTCATCATGGGATGCTTGCTAGAAGACACCTGCGATTTAGAAAATGTTTTAAAGCTCCTTGAGAATTACAAGTAGGTTAGAAAATGCTCTTGCCTTCTTTGACTACGGTTGCTCAACTTCTTTGAGGCAATACTCCTTGTTATTACAAGATGCTAGTTGTTATTTTAATTTTCTTTTCAGGCTGTTATGAATCTTTCTCCTGTATGTTAGGTAAGTTTGGTAGGAAATATGATCGGAAATTTGTTCGGAAATTCTGGCCTTTTGGGAACATGCTTAGTGCAATTTATGAAGTTAGTCATCAGGCTAGAATCTCTTACGGAATTGCCATGAATTAAATAAACAAAACTTCCCGGGTTGGTGTTGATGAACTCGTAGCTAAATGTGAGATTTAATTATTATTCTGAGTTGAGGGAGACTGATCCATCTTTAGTGTCCAGGATAATTCGTAGTTGGGTTTGAGTGGGTATCGACTCTGATTGGGCTAACAACTTAGTATTAGGGCTTGGTCCATGAACTGCCCCAGGCCCATAACATGTCTGAGAGCCACTCAGCCTAAGCCCAGATTCTAGTTATTCTTTTGTAGCCCACCAAAGTTTGGTGGTGGTTTCACATCTGTTGAATTCTTAAAAAAAAAATCGCCCTGGGCTGGGCATTTTCCGCCGGCCTACTCCGTTTATTTACCTTCATCTCTCTGGGTTTTCTACACATTTATTTTCTAAATAAATGTGAGAAAATAAATGTGTGCAGCACGCGTAATTTTTATTACCACGTGCTTGCTACAATAATTCTCTACATGCTCGGCAGGTGTGCATCTACGTGCTACGTGCTCGGTGCATTATCTACATGCTACTTGCTAGCAAGTAGCAACCATATGTCATCATCACCTACACAAAACACCACCACGGGCCTACGTGCTAGTGTTTATCTACATGCTAAATGTCATCGTTACTTGAATAAAAAGTCAATGCACAAAGATCTATATAATCCGCCACGTGTAATTCAAGGAACACTTTCTTAAAAAAAAAGCAATAGATAGTGTTTCACGACAGAAATTATGTTTTTCTAAAAATATTTATTTAAAATTAATTTTTTTATATTTTTAAATTACTTTGATGCTAAAATTAAAAATATTTATAAAAAATAAAATAAAAATATTATTTTAATATATTTCTTAATAAAAAAAACTTTAAACCATAATTGTTACAGCATTCTCAGCCACTCTCTCGCACCCATTAATGTAACCATCTAGGTGGTGGCCAAGTGGTAAGAACTTGGGATCAAGGGGTTTGCTCCCTTTGTGGTCTCAGGTTCGAGTCCTTAGTTGCTCATATGATGGCCACTGGAGGCTTACATGGTCGTTAACTTCAGGGCCCGTGGGATTAATCGTGGTGCGCGCAAGCTGGCCCAGACACCCAAATTAATCTAAAAAAAATGTACAAAAACACCGTACTCATCTCTCCGCTCTACTTCCCTCTGCACAATAAACACCAAGGAAAACACTCATCTCTACATGCACTCGATTTATCTCTATACAAGTAGCACACGAATCTCTATGCAATAAATATATTTTCCATGTTTTTAATTTTTACCCATAACCAAATTTAAAGTTAATCGAGTATCTAAATATCTTTTGTGAGCAGCTTGTTTTTACAATACAACTTAGATTCAAAACTTAATCATGAAATGTTTATCTCTAAGTGAAAAAAATTTTCATTAGATCTTCAATATCTAATTATATCTATCCCCAATAAATTATTAATTTATCTTATTAATATGATAATGCAAGAAAGAGTTCAAAACATACCATTTGTTTGGTCAAATGGCATTGTAGGCTAATTTCCGTTGTCCATTTCAATACGTGTTCAAATCAATCTTGGTTGTCAACTCGCAGTACTTGTCTATCCGAAAATATAATTATAGTTATTTTTTAAAATATATTTTATTAAAAAAAATATAAAAAATTATTTTTTATATTAATACATCAAAATAATTTAAAAAAATTAAAAAATATTAATTTAAAATAACAAAAAAATAATAATTTTTTTATAAATACTCTTAAAACATAAAAACAAATAAGAAAATGAAAAACTTCTTTGGAAGATCTCATTTTTTGTATGGCTTAGAGATCTATGTGCTAAAGGGCCTAATAATTCTTGGAAATTATACACTGGTCGGGTTTTAAAGTTTTGATTGTATAAATATCTTTTATTGTTTTTCCAAGTAGTTTTTTCCCTTTTCTGATTGGAATATTTTATTGCATGGCCGTATAGTTTGTAGTGAATTAGTCTCAAGCATCCTGATTAATTCCAGCAATGTAAGTGGCAAGAACATGATTTCTGCTGATTAATTAATTATAAAACTCATTTAAAGTAAAAACTAAATCTTGATTATTGAATATTTATTGCAACATTGTTATCAGACTCACTTTACTTCTAAAAACATGTCGTTTCGAAGCATAAATGAACATTTTGAAATAATATAACTGATAAAACTTTTAAAAAATCAAATAATCTAGAAATTTGGCTATCAAATTATATAATTAATTAATTAATTGATCTTAATAATTTTATTTATTTTTTCTTATAAAGATGGTTGATAGTTTATATTTAGTTTCTGATAAGTTAAGATGGTTTATAACTAATATTTACAAAAATTATATAAAAATAAAAAATATAGCGATACTTTAAAAATATAAACTTTGAAAATATATATATTAAAAATATTTTAAATAAATAAATTTAAAACTTTTATTTAATGGACCTCGAGATTTTCTGATTGTAAAACCAAAAACTTTATAAAAATAGAAAATATAGTGATATTTTAAAAATAAATTTTAAAAATATATATACTAAAAATATTATAAATAAAGAAATTAAATTTTTTTATTCTAAATATGTCATTACGTTTGTATAATTCATGAGTATTCGTAGTGTATGCTAGGTTCACGATCGAGTTCCAAGGCTTATGGAGGAGCTAAGACGAATACCCAACACTAAGAAAGTTGGACATGTCATGCCCATGTTCGGCGTGCATCCTGTATGGTTTCCATGCCTTCTAAAAAGCCGGGCTTGTGCAATAGCCCGAGCGTATTTTTCTTGAACTTTCTATTGTATTCTGAACTCGGGATACGTGTTTTTATTGGATCTATTTTTTTGTTTTCTAATTCGTTTTGGAGGGTTTTTGCTGCATGTTTTTATCAATATCAATCTATACCAAATCATTTTATCACGGTAGCTTTTCCCGAAAGGAATCAGCATTTGTGTATAAGGAGTGCTCG